ACACATAAGGCTAAAGTACAACAGAAAGAAAACCACTTGTTAAACATAAAGCGTAACATGAAAATCTAAAAGCACAGGTCACCTATTGTAAAGATTTACTGTAGAGTGGTTGGGACAAAGGACCCTTGCAGCAAATACTCACCCTTTCCTGTGTTCCCCTGCATAGGAAAAAGAAAATACCCAGTTACGTCTGGGGATAGAGGAGCATGCAACTCCCTCTTCCTCTCATATGGGAGGCCCAGCACTGTTATATAGATGAAAGGAGAACTCTGACTGGAGATCACAAAAGAGCTTATACAGGCCAAGGTTTCCTTGCTCCTGATGGCTGACAGAGCATCAGAGGAGCAGAAGAAAGGCAAGTACACTTTTGAAACATCCACTGACTTTGACCGCTATGATGGGAAAAAAAAAAAAAAAAAAATCTGGCCACTGACCACATGTGATGAAGACTACTGCATAACATGGCATGCATCGGCTAAGGCCTGCACACAAATTGCAACTGTGTGCATTACATGCAGGAAACGATCATACAGATGAGCAGAGGTCTATTGACTTCTAAACGCTAACAAAGTGCAATGAGTATTAAACATAATGTGTGTGCTTTATTTTTAGATATACGGGGGACCCTACAATCAAGTACACTAAAATCAAAGTTCCAGAGAGCGGATATTCATAATGTAATGGACTTTGTGTCAATGCAGAGTGGGAAATGGCATCCTGGTGTGAAGGACAACAGGTCATGAATTAACATTTTACTGATTTTTCAGCCCCTCTGGAGTAAAGAGAGCTGGGGTAATAAGACAGCAAACAACACAATTGCAGTTACGGAACCTAGCAAGATCTAGACAGACATGTTTTATGAAAAACATACAAGAGGGCAGTTTGACAATTGGAAAAAAAAAATATTTCACATTTTCCTGAACTGTACAGTAAATATTCAGTTTTCCTAATTAAAAAAAAAAAAAAAAAAAAAAAAAAAAAAAAAAAAAAAAAAGGTTTTATTTGCCATATGCACAAATATACAGGTCATAATTCTTAAGACCTAGTACATGAATTTTAAAAAAGAAAAAAAAAAAAGCCATATTTCCACAAGTATTATCCAGTCATAACATGACAGCACACACTGTGGCTCCACTGAGTTCCCAGACAAGTGATATCAGCAAAGCCATGCCATAAAGAAAACAAATGACATCATAAGTACATACAGCATTTTCAAATTTTTGTTTTTTTGGATTCGTCAGTTTGAGATTATTACTTATGTAGAGAAACAAAAATCCGAAACAGAAAGAAACAAAAAATCAAATTGGGAACCAAAACTTTTTGGAGTAAACCACTATTCTCCCATCACATAACAGTATACTAGTGTCAGTGTTATATTGATTACCAGTGCACCAGATAGTCAAAATTATACAGTGGACAGATGGCATGTATGTCTTACACAGTACACCAATTATATACCTCAAGGGCTGTCTTCCACCATGTCTGAGGGCTCTAATCATCTAGACCATATTCACAGAAATTTTTTTGGACATCCTGTAGCTACATATGTCATTTCATATAAAGTCCAGGCTCCTAAGCCAAGGATATCTGTTGGTGTCCAATGTAACACTATCAGTTTACACACATTATAAATAATAACCTCAAAAAACGTTATTTTTTTGCATTATCCACAATATCATCCTCAATTACCCCAGAAGGCAGGTTAGCAGGCTACATATGTTTGGAAAATCGAAAGGGTCAGCTATAAACTGGGCAACTTGCAACCACAATGGTCGAACTTTAGCACATTCCCAAACTATATGCAGAAATATTCTTCCGGTTTCAATAGTTTGATTAAGAAATTTTTGTTTTAAAAATACAAGCAGCTCAAAATACCCCCACACAGGGGCAGAGCAGAAAAATAACACAGATATCCTGCTGACTTTTGTTAGTCTAATAACGACATCAAGGAGGGACGGCAAAAGCCAAACCAAATAGCAGCAGTAATCCAACATAATATCGGGGAAAAAAAAGAAAAGAAAAAGGTTAGAAGAAAGGAAAAAGAAAATAGAACAAAAAGGGGAATCAAAAGAAAACATGGAAGAAGGGAAACTAAAAGGATCACGGATCCAGGGCTAGCACAGGCAGCGACTATAAGAGGCCATAACTAGTAGGAGGCAAGGATGGCAAGGAAGAACGTATCCAAGGTTCCCAATCCGAATCTTGGATGAAAATCATAAAGAATGCTAGATATCTGTTCATTGAACATAGCACTCATCCGGGTCCGCACCCCCTGGAAGACAACCAAAGGGGTACTCCATGCTTGAGCTATAGCACATTTGGCCAAAATAAATAGGTAGGATGCCAATTTCTGCTGAGACCTAGACAGACCCAAAATTGGGCAATACAGGAGTGCCACCCTTGCATTCCTATGGACCGTAATATGAAATAGCGTTTGTAGCAAAACAAAAACCCTAGACCAGAAGCCTATCAATCGCAGGCACGACCACCAAATGTGCAAGATGTCCCCGCATAGACCACAGTTCCGGAAACACCTATCTCCGCCAGTCGGATTAAAGTGAGCAGTCCGACCCGGGACCCAGTACCACCACAGTAGAATTTTGTAGGCTGCCTCAAGAGTGACTGTATTGAATGAACATTTCGTCACCATCCCCCAGGCCCTACGCCAATATTGCACCGCAATCGAGACACCCAGATCTCGCTCCCATTGAGAAACATGACAGAGGTGGTGAGGAGGACCTACTGTTAAGAGGCATAAATACAAAAATGAGACCAGGGGACCTGGGGAATGCTGACAGGCGTGTTCAAAGGGCGTTTTGCGGGAATGGTATGTAGAGATACGACGGAGGGAGATGACCCAGGGGCGCAATTGCAAATATCGAAACCCCCCTTGATCCTTGAAGAGACTCCCAAGATGGAAGCGTACAAGCGCTCAGAAAATCATGTACAATAACAAAGCCATGGGAGGTCCACCAAGAGAAAGAAGGGGGATGTGCTAGGCCTGGCGAAAATGAAGGATTATGCGTAATCGGCAAAAGAGGTAGAAATGACGAAATCAAATTACCCGAATATTTTACAGAATCCCAGGTTCGTAAACTGTGAAGCATGATAAGGCTCAAATCCTGAGGGCGCAACTTAGGTGGGAAGAAATATTCTTCCTAAAATGTTAAAAGTCATATTTACGATTTATATTTTTTAGGTAAACCTTTACCTGTCAACTTCATCACGAGCTACAATATCTCCTTTTTTTAAGGCTTTGATAGCAAACATTTCATTAGTGTTCTTGTACTCTGCCAGCAGCACCTGAAAAGGAAGAAAGTGGTTACAATACAATTGTACACAGGTTCTATCAGCAGCAGTATCTTTCATCATCTCTCCTAAAAAGTACCTTTCCAAAATGTCCTCTGCCTAATACTGCACAACAGCGGAAGTCTTGCAAGCTGAACTGGAACCGAGGCTGCACACTGGGGAGACAATTCAATGATAATATGAAGTTTGTCAGTCCAGCAGAAACAAACATCACAAAGATAGACTCAGGTAACAGCATTACCGCCTTTCCTCGGTCTCTCGTAGTGAGTTATATTCCACATCTGACACATTGATTTCCCCTTCACTTAGATCTGTTATCGGTTTTGTAGCTACATTGTTTCTGTTATTTGAATATTCATAATTTGTTCCAGGGTCCTGTGATAAAAAGATGATGGTTAATAAAGAGGTTTACTTTTAGTCAGTTATTTCCCACCCTTTAGGCTTCAGTAAAATGATGGATGAAGGAGACAGTTCAGGCTACACGTTGTTCAGCCTCCTCTAATCACGGCATGAACTTTGAGTGCTGGTTCACACAAGCCCCTGCAATGCAGTGCAGCGGCTGGTGTGCAGTGAGATTCAGTTGAGATCAAACAGTTAAGATGTGCTGAGCTTTTAAAATTAACTTTGAGATATCACAAAGACATCTCATAAAGGTAAATTGCCAGCCATGTGGTGTGAGGCAGTGGATTTCCTCTTACTATGCTGCCCTGAAAAAAATAATGCACATGCAATACTTTTTCCTCCTGTGCCCACACAAACTACCACAACGTAGTGGTGTGAACTGGGTGCATACGAAACAAGGCATTTTGCCTTGTCCATGCGGTGGGACTGTGGTGGAACAGCCACCCAACACAGTCCCACCTCATCTGGTGTGAATATACCCAGAAGCAATAAGTTTAGAGCCAAGCATTGTGATGGCTGGAAAACAAGATTTAAGTGCGGAGCAGTTCACGGAACCTTTACAAATCCAGTGTGGTTTGGGGGCACCTGCCAACACCCTCTTTTGACTACTGTACAATCAAAGCCTGCTAGTCACTGTTTTGATCTCCAGGAATTTGGAAGTTCACCAGGTTTATCAATATCCCATAAGCCTGGGGAATGGATGCATTTCATCCTTGAACCATTAAAGAATGGAAACAAAAAACGTCATGGCATAGAAATGTATCCAATCCTCAAGCAATTCATAGATCACATTCCATTCACTCCATTCCTTTTTTTTATCTCTTGCTATATTAATTTTAATTCTCTTCTGGATGGATTTGTTAAGAACACAAATCACTGGAACATTAAAGAATCTAGATCCAAAACTAAGTATATGCATTAACTTACCTGAGCTGGTATGCTCGGTGCTTTAATATCTATTGAAGCCTGATAAACATCAAGGTCTAGTGAGGATGCCCGGGTGGAACACTAGGTGCTTCGGATTCTATTTCAAAGTCCAGCTTTCCTACAGGAGATTCGCTTTAAGGAAGAAAAACATCTAATTAAAATTCACGTTGTATTCCCTAGCTCATTTTTTATAAAATTTTAAATTAAAATATGAAACCTGAAAATAAGTCTGCATTAGCGCATGTTATTGTTTGATGGGAACAATTTAGCAACATACAGTATAAAAGAGATATAAAAGGAACTTTATAAGTGTAATGACAAACATTCTTTGATGCAGGTAGGTGCAGTAAAGTATATCAATTTCAGAGAGCATAACAAAGCACATACCTCACTGACGGTGATAGCTCCACGCTCTGTGGGTCCACAACCTGCACTGCAGCAGGAACAGTAACCTGAGGGCTGTAAGTGCCAGAGTGATTAACTGTGGGAATTGCCCTTCTGACAAGTCGTCCCCATGTGGCAATGTTAATGTTCATCTGTGGCGCTCGGAGGAATGTTTTTCCTGTTAACAATGAATAAGTGATAAAAGCAGAGAACCACATCACTGAAGGCCATCAAAATCTACTGATGACAAGTACTTCTCTGCAGCTTAAAAATATATATTACCTTGTTGCTTTGAAAAAATCTTTTTCTGTCTCTGGAGTTTTGGTCTTCTTTCAATAACGGGATTGAAAAAGGTTACCTGTGCATAAAAGGAAAGCAAAATTAACCATCTGGATTCACTTTAAGCGAATGTTGCATTTACCATAGAAAAATATCATTAAAATTGCGTAACAGTCTATTAACAGATTTAATACTCTGATTGATCCCCTACACCACTGTTAAGCATGATTGGTAAGGAGAATTCAGGCAATTCAGATGTTGACTGAATGATATTCATGCAGCAGATCATTGCACAAAGTAACACTGAAATATAGCTACATATACAATACACTTTGTCCCATAATCATTTCACTCTCTCCTCCATTCAATGAAAGAAGCCAAAACATTTATTATAGCAAGCAGTAAGTAGGCAATCATTCTGAAGGGTGCAAAAGCAATACTCATGGCATGCAAAGCTCTGAAGCCATGAATATAAAACTAGATTGAAACTAAAAAGTTTTGCTTTTAAAAAGAATCTACAGATCTAGAAAAATGTGTTAACGCATATGCGTTTCTGATGAGTTTCCAGTGCGTTTTCTGATTGGAATGCACATATGAAACATGGACGTGAGACTCAAAGCACAAAAAACAAAAAAAACAAAACAAAAAAAAAAAAAAACACAATGCAACTGCTGTGCATTTTAGATGAACGTTTGATGCATTTTCCATTTATTTTAATAGGGATCTGTGTTTCTAAAAAGCTAAAATGATGTAGCATGCAGGACTTTTTCAAAATGCACTGCACCAGCAGGGTAGTAGTGTGAAGAGTCCCACAGGATTTAAAGAGAAATATTTTGTTGTATTTTTAGCAAGGTAAAAAAACAAAACAAAAAACCCATCAGTGTGAAAGAGCCCTAAACCAAACCAAGACAAGCACTACACCCAACCAGCTCTGGAAGGGGGGGGGGGGGATTAGAGTATCTTTACAGTGAACAGATACAAATTTTTTACTTGATTGTAGGCACTACTTATAATATACTGTAACCCTTCCTCATAGACCGGAAGCTTCTTCTGATCCTCCAGCAGCATTAGCCTTGGCAGCCAAGATATGATTTTACAGTCAAGGAATTGTGGTTATAAACACACAAGAGAGCCTGCCGTTGGAGAGCAGCTACTAAGTGTTTACTCTCCAAGTTCTCACCTCTGCAAAGAGTGTGCCCTGTGGCTCCAGGTACAGACACATGCCATGTCTCTGGTTGTCTAGGAAATCTTCTAACCTCAGAAACTTCACAGCACACAAAGATCGCCAGTCTCTCCAGAACACAGAAATCTCCAATTCTCGGGACTAAAAAGAAAAGAAGCATACAGGTTTAAAACAGACCATAGAATCTCTATTATAAATGAGAGATTTTCTACAAAACAAACGAGGCGATTCAATAAAGGTATTTGTGACACTTTTCGGTCAGCAAGTCTAAGTAGTTAAAAGCTTTGCGCCAAATTCAACTAAACCCTGCAACAATTTAATTTCAAGTACCGATGCGTGCAACAAGTTCAAGTAATTCTTATTTGTGGCTCTGTTACTGTATGGCACTTTTCTAGCAGCAAATTCATACAGAAACACTGCCATATTGGTGGGAAGGAAGGTGGAGGTAACGAAGACCTTTCCTTGTTGGGAGTAAATTGTCGATTGTGCCTTATGAGTATTGTGTCACATCGAAGACAATTTTGCATCAAAATTTGTCTTTAAAGCAGTGTTAAACCGAAAAGCTAACATTATATTGCAGCATACCAATTCTAAGAAGTGATGGCTGCATTCGTTTTTGTTTTAGGCTTTTATTTTCATCTGATCAACCAGCAAGTCTGCAAATGTTTTTTCAAAAGAACAGCCTTTTCAGCTATTCAGCGGAATGTATCAGTTTGCATGGGCGAGACAAATCACTTAAAACTGGTAGGGGTGATTAAAATGATCAGCTTTTGAGACAAAATCTTTATTCCAAAAGAAAAAAAAAAAAAAAAAACTGGTGTAGCTGATTATAAAAGTGTGAGCTGGAGTTTGGCTTCAATTTGTTAGCAATTCTAAATCTGCTAATGCCTTTCCCATTAACCTCTCCCCAGACTGACAATGGTGCTGTCTGCTGTGCCCCCTGTACTCAGTCCTCCAGAGTGGTGTCTCACTAATACAGGAGGTGTATTACTGGCCAGATCACCAGGTGAAAACAGAGGGGAAAAAGCCAGAGAAGAAAACTGAAGCTACCACATCTAATGATTGGAGGAAAGCTGCAGTAGAATACATTTTTGGTTCTGGGTTTAATACCGCTTTAAGCTGCTCTGTAAATATTTGATATATTTCGATTACTCTCCAAATACTCTACCTGTAAAACTCCCCCACTTTGACAGAGTTGTTGCAAGCATCTCTGTCAAAGTTGTGACAGATGCATATACTCCCAAGGCGTACACAAATCTATTATATGTTTTTGCCCTGCCACAAGTAAGAGTTCTAAAGAGTATGTACAGTACTCTTTATGAATTCCAGGGATTGGGTTTTCTTTACCAGTACAAGTAATTTAAAAATATACAAATAGGGAAGTCAATCACTTCCACTGTTAATACAGTAATCTGAAGCAGTGTTATTACAATGCAGCTATGGCTTGGAACGCCAATCTGTGTAAGAAGAGCAGTTGGGAGGTGTTAAACCCAAGGCTAGAATCACTTTTTTTTTTTTTTTTTTTTTTTTAATTTAAATATTTATTAAATTTTTCATATAAATACAAATACCCAAAAAGGGAAACAATTCACATATAAATAGGCATTTATAACATTTCCCCCTTCTAAAAACGCTTTTCTTTCCCATCCCACCCCAACCCTTCCCACCCCTCCTCCCCCCTCTGCAGACTCTAACCCATTCTAATCTCTCGAGGCATTATTACTTTTTAGCTAACATCCTAGTTCATAGTTTCCTATATTTCTCTTTCAATCCTGCTTTTTCCCACTTTTCCCATCTCATATATTAAACTCCCATGCTATCTTCCTGCATATGGTATGATCTTTCCATTCTACCTATCTGGTTTACTCTATTAATCCAGTCTTCCTCCTTCGGTACCTAAGTTTTCTGCCAAAACTTGGGTATCAACCCTTTCGCCGCATTTAAGAAGTACCAGACGCCTGAGTTTTTGTATTTATTTACAGATGTCTCCACATTATGTAGGAGGCACGTCGTTGGGTCTAACCCTATGTCAATTTCAGTTATTTCTTCAATCAATTTGACTATTACCTTCCAAAAAAACCTGGATTTTCGGACATTCCCACCATATGTGAAACACCGTGCCTATCTCTCCACATCCTCTCCAACACATTTTTGAATTTTCCCCATTCATCTTGTGCTCAACACTCGGTGTAATGTGCCATCGTGTCATACACTTATAATTAATCTCAACCTCTCTCATACTAACATTCTCGTGTATCAATCTAAACATCTTTCTCTGTTTGTCCTCGTCAAACCCAACTTCCATGTCCCTTTCCCATTTTGTTATAAAACTTAACTTTGTGTTTGTGTCTAATTCTGTGAGTATTCTATAGGTTTTTGAAATACCGTGCTTCCCATCCCTTCGTGTTTCTAACAGCCTTTCAAACATATTCCACTCCTGTTTTAATCTCAGGGGTTTCGGGAGGTTTCCAATAAAACATTTCAATTGATGATATTTCCACTCATCTATTCTAATAAAGATATCTCCCTTGTTCTCTATTAATTCTTTAAGTGATCTCAATTCCCCCTCCACCAGAACATCTCTCAGTTGGGTATCCTCCTTTCTAAACCATCTCCCTGATATCTTATCCTTTCCCGGGGGAAAGTACTCAGTGTTTGTGAGAGGCATTAGTGTAGAATTAAATTCCCATTTCATGTTTTTGTGTAAATTGTCCCATACCCTTAAAACATTTAAAGTGTAAATACTTGTGCTTTCTTTAATTCCTCTAAACTGTGCTGGAACCCATATCATCTGACTCAATCTAATTCCACTAAGATCATTTTCAATTGTTACCCAACCTTTCCCCCTTATGGTTAAATGTCCAGTCATATATTCTTGCTAAAACCACTGCTTTATAGTATCTCTTGACATCTGGTAGACCCAATCCCCCTTTCTCTTTAGTCCTACTCAATGTTTCATATGCTATTCTAGGTTTTATATTCTTCCATATGTATCTTAACATTTTTTTTATTATCTTAAAAAAGGCCTCTGGAATTTTAATTGGTACCATTTGAAATCTATACAATATTTTAGGCATAATTACCATTTTGACTAGGTTTATACGTCCTATCCAGGATGGGTTTCCTCCTTCTAGTCTTTTTAAATCTTCCCTGATCTCATTTATCAAAGAAAATATAGTTTAATCTATACAAATGCTTAGATGAGGCAGTGAGTTTTATTCCTAGGTATTTTATCTCTTTTTCTCTCCATATAAAGGGGAATTCTTTTTGTAGTTTTTCTTTTTCATTCTTTGATATATTAATATTCAAGATCTCTGTTTTCGTTGGATTAATTTTTAGATTTGATAGTTCACCGTACTCCTTCAGAATCTTCATTATATTTGGGAGAGTTATTCGGGGATTCCCCACATAGAACAATAAGTCGTCCGCAAAGGCCGCTACTTTATGTTCTATAGTTTCTATCTGAATTCCCTTTACCGCTCCACTGTTCCTTATTATTGACAACAGAGGTTCGAGTGACAACACATATAGTAAAGGGGACAGTGGGCAACCCTGTCTTGTTCCATTAGACATTCCAATGGGGGTTCTGATCTCTTCCCATTTACCGTGATGATTGCAGTAGGCTCCCTATATAATTTACTTATCCACTCACGCATTCTATCACCTATCCCCAGCACTTTTAAGTTGTCCATCATAAAGCCCCAGTCCACTCTATCAAATGCCTTCTCTGCATCAATTGACAAGAGCACCACCGGGGCTTTCCCTTTTCTACTTTTCTGAATAAGCATCAGGGTTCTCAAGCCGTTATCTCTACCCTCTCTCCCAGGTACGAAGCCCACCTGATCTCCATGGATCCATTCAGGCATTAGATCTTTCAACCTGTTTGCTAAAACCTTTGCATACAGTTTGGTATCTGTGTTCAATAATGAAATAGGTCTATAGCTGGAGCACTGAGATGGGTCTTTTCCCTCCTTATGATGAATAAGTACTACATGGGCCTGTAAAGATTCTCTCCTCACTTCCATCCCACCTCCCAGAGCATTCATATACTTTTCCAGCTTGGGTAACAGCACTTCACTAAATTTCTTATAGTACTTAACTGTATAGCCATCTGGGCCTGGGCCTGGGTCTCCCCCCCCCCGTGCTTCTTAATGCTGTTTTAATTTCTTCCTGGGTAATTTCCACATCCAAGGAGTTCAACTGTGCTTCACTTAGTTTTGGTAATCCCGCGTTTTTTAAATATATCATCTTTTTTTCTTTGATTCCCTCTTGAGCTTCTTTTAGAGGACCTTGGGGACTAATATTATATAGCTTTCTGTAATACTCCGTAAACACTTTAATAATCTCTTTAGTTGAGTGGACCGACTCCCCCTTAGGACTTTTTATCTTTTCTATATAGTTCCTATTTTTCTTTTTATTCAAGGCTCTCATTAGGTATTTTCCTGGTCTATCTCCCCATCTATATCTCTCGTTTAATACCCTGTTGTATACTCTTCTCCTCTCTTCTTCCATCAACCTCTCTAGCTCATCTTTTTTATCCGATAACTTCTGTCTCGTATCTTTTGTTATTTTCTTCTTGTGGATCTGCTCCAAGTCCAGTATTTTCTTTAGAAGCCCACTGACCCTCTCTCTTCTTTCCTTTTTCTTCCTTGCTCCTGCCGCGATCAAGATTCCTCTTATAAATACCTTATGACTTTCCCAAACTGTAGCTATCGACACCTCCTCTGTTTCGTTCTCCTGAAAATACACCCTAATCTCTTTCTCGATTTTCTGAACTAAAAATCCTCGTCCAGAAGAAGAGCCTCATTTAACCTCCACCCTAATCCTCCAGTCCACCTTCTTCCCCATCCCATTTTCATTACGACCGGGGCATGATCCGAGAACGTTCTTGTCTCTATGTCAATTTTAACCAGATGATCTATAAGTTGATGGTCTATTAAGATGTAATCTAATCTCGAGTATATCTCATGTGCATTAGAGAAGAAGGTATAGTCTCTGTCTTTCATATGCATTATTCTCCAGATGTCCACTAGTTGATATTCATGCATCACTTTCTTCAAAGCTCTCAGAGACCTACTCCCCTCTCTTTGCACAGAAGAGGTGTTATCCTTTTGTGGGTCCATACAGAAATTTAGGTCTCTGCAACTATCAAACGCCCTTTTTTAAATTCCATCAATTTTTTCATCAGACCCCTCATATACATCTCCGGGTTTTTATTAGGGCAGTATATATTGGCTAAAGTACACTCAATCCCCTGAAGCCTACCTTTTAAGAATAAAAACCTCCCCTCCGGATCGGTTCTTCTATCCTCCAGCTCAAATCTCATATTCTTTGCCAAACCTATTGCCACCCCTTTTGCTCTTTTAATTGGAGAGTCTGCGTAATACCATATTGGGGAGTGTTTGGATTTCAATTTCACATTTGCCTCTATCTCAAAGTGCGTCTCCTGTAAAAATACCACTGACGTTGCCCTATGATGCAACTCCTTAAACAACCTAAATCTCTTCCCTGGACAACTCAACCCGTTCACATTTATAGGTTATAAACTGTATTTCTTCCATCCTTCCCAATTCGCTCCATCTCTCTTCCAATTTACCTCTTCCTCTTTATCCCTACTGTCATGCAGAGTATTAACCCAGTACCTCCTCCCCTCCCTCCCTCCAACCCGACTCTCATCCCCCCCCCCCCCCCCATCCCTCATTCTTTTTTTCCTCCCTACCCATTTTTAGGCTTAAATACTGCCTATAAATCATTTGTGGATCTATTTCCACCGCTGATTAAATGCTTTGGGATTAAGCTCCACCCATGGCCGGCTATCCTCTCCTTCGACCTCCCCAGATCCCCTCTCTCTATCCACAGGAGAAATACAAAAATCTTTACTTTCCCCCTCAACCGAAGCTCCCGAGGGTTACCATTTCAACATATGTGGGGCCCAGGGGGTCGAGAGAGATAGGAGAGAAAAAAAAAAAATATATATATATTCTTCTCAATTTTCCCTCCCCTCTCTCCCCACCCCCAGGCCTCCCCTCCCCCCGGCCCGCTGGCCAGTCCTCTTTTCTTGTATCTTCTGTTTCCCTTTCTTTCTTTTTCTTTCTTCTTCCCACCCCACTATCACCATTCTTTGCAGTTTCAGTCTGTCACAGAAATCCCTCAGTTCCTCCGGGTGTCTCAAATATGCTGTTACGCCATTTTTCCAGCCAATTAAACAAGCTGGGGTACCCCATCTATACTGGACGTTCTGTTTTTTTCTCATTTGTTCCAACAAGGGTCTCAGGGATCTCCTTCTCCATAGGGTCTCTGGTGTTAGGTCCGCAAAAATTTGGATTTTTAAGTCTCCATACTTAATTAATGCTCTTCCTTTAATCTTCCTCCATATCTCCTCTTTAACCCCAAATTTTTGGAACTGAACCACTGTATCTCTTGATCTTTCCTTCTCCACAGCTTGATTAAACTTTCCTATTCTAAACACTCCGTCCAGTTTAATCCCGTCTGTTTCAGGTCTGTCTCTTATGGAGTTTAGAATTTGTACGACAAGATCATATAGTGATTCCCCTTTTACTTGCTCTGGAATTCCTCGAACTCTAAGGTTACATCTTCTTTCTTTATTTTCTTGAACTTCCATCCTATAGAGCAATTTTTTTCTGGGTATTCTCCAAGTAAGTTATTTTTTTCTCTAGATTATCTATGGTTTGGGCCTGCTTTTTAACTTTTTCCTCTGTTTCTTCCACTCTCAATAGCAGGTGTCTTAGATCATTGCGCACAACTGTCATTTCTTGTTTTATCATTTTTTCCAAACTTTGAAACATTTCTGTCATCTTTTTTTTTGGCGCTTGTAGTTCACCGTCTACTTCTTTTTTTTTCCAAGCCCTCTGTTGTTAGGTGGCTACCGCTACTATTCATACCCATTGATAATCTAGGACTGTTTCCCAGAGACATGTCCATATCCCCTTTTGCGTTTGCACCTTGGGCCCTTTCTGGCGTAATATTTCTTTGCGATGTAAATTTCTTTATCGTATCTATTTGAGACCCTTTGGGCCCTGTTCCCTTAGGACCTTTGTTCTTCATTTCCTCTAAAACTCTGATTTCTTCTCTTATTCTCTATATGAAATTGTATCAGTCCTTTAATTTTGTACACCAGACAGAACCTGCTAATATCCCATGTATTTTTACTCTCCTGGGACACCTGGAGCTCTTCTCATCTTCTCTTTCTTAGCCCAAAGAATCCTCCCCCTCCTCTCCTTCACCCCTAGATTTCCCATATCACTCGGGGTTCCCCCACACGATAAGCCCCCAATAGCTCTCACTCACCCTTCTTCTCCCAGCAGTGACTCCGAGCTTGAGGTTGAGGGCCTCACAGCAATTCAGTCCAAGGGGGGATTCCTCTGGGTTTCACTCCTCTCCTCGTGCCCTTCATCCAGACTTTTCACCAGATAGCAGGGTGAATCCCTTCACTCTATTGGGTCACTCAGACCCAGAATCGATCAACTGGCCGTGGGGATTAAACACATGAGAGCCGGCGGCTCCCTCTTGCATCGGGAAGCCGGCCGGTTTCTTCCTCTCCCAGATAGCCTCCGGGGCTGGTCACGTGCTCCCACCATGTCACCTCGCCCCTCAGCCTCCTGGGTCTCTCCTCTGTAAGGCGCCGGGCGGACCAGCGCTTCACTGCCACCTCCGCCCTGGTCTCATCTCCGGCTTTCTCTCCTCTCTTGTACCGATCGTCAGACTCCGGTGAGTCAATTCCCCATATCCTACTCCAGGTGGTCACTGGGGAGGTCGAATAGCGGCGCTTAGCAGGGAGCTATTGCCACACGCTCCCCACAGCCGCCATGTTCAGGCTTCTCCCTCCCCGGCTAGAATCACACTTAAGCAATCCATTGCTGTGCACTGAAGTGGTATTAAACCCAAAACCAAAAATGTAACATATTGTAGCTGGCTAATCCTTAGATGTGGCGGCTACACTAGTTTTTTTTTTCCCCTCGGTTTTCACCTGGTTTCACACCATTAACACACCTCCTATATTAGAGTGCCTCCACTCTGAGTGAAGGAGCATGGGGACACCTTTGGAAAGCAGCAGTCAGTCTGGGGGAGGGAAGCATTAGATTTAGATACACTGTAATTAAAGCCAAATGTTGGGTTGAAAACGGTTTAAGTCACTGTAAATGTGTGTTAACCTTTCTTGTATTAAAGTATCTCATTGCTTTGAAATGGGTTGCCAATGCACTGAAACAGATGACGAAAAAAAAAAATCATGATAGTTTTTAGCAACACTGCATACCATAAACACAGTATGCACACTGTAGAGTACTGCATGTTAGGGACACCACTAAATGAATCGCACTGCATATATAGGTTACGTATGTTACAGTAACCTTTTTATAATTGTCATAGCAGACTGACCCTTAAAACCTTCAAGTAATGTGAAAGACCTTAGGCTCTGTAAGATTATACATTTTATAAAAAGTGCAATGTGCTTGAATTTAAACAAGGTAATTATATATGATATTAAAAATTCTATTCAATGTAAATCAGGGGCACTGGATTTGTCAATACTATACGCACTCTGTCCAGCTCCAACGTAAACTTCTGGTCCCATGATTGGTTTGAAATAGGTTTCCAGTTGGTTTGCCCGACTACGGTATTGTCCAGCTTCAGAACAGCACAGACCTCATCTGTAAGGAAATTATTGCAACTGAGCTTAAAAGGCTAAGAGGATTGCAGGAAACAAAAAGCTTCACTGTTAAACCCACAACAAAATATCTGCTTAAGAAAAGATTAGATGCATTTTTTTTTTGTAAAGAGCCTGGTGCATGAACAAATGAAATGGTCTTTGGGTTTCATTACTAATTATGTGGGGTTTTACGCAAAATTCAGTAGATGATGTTAAAACCTCTAGTCTGCTTAAGAACATGCCTGAAGATGCCTGAAGCTCTCTTAAATGTAATGTAATATAATGAAAGAAATATTTTGCATACTTTATAGATCGAAGTTTAGCTTGTTTGTTTTTTTTTTTTAAATACAAAAAACACACACTTTTAGAAATAGAAGTGTTAATTTATTTTTAGCGATTAACAAAAAACACAACGATGCCAAGTAAATTAACAGAAGATAAATCCAAATAAAAACAGTATTTGGTGCGACCACCCTTTACCTTCAAATCAGCATCAATTCTTCTAGGTATACTTGCACTCACTTTTTGAAGGAACTCGGCAGGTAGGTTGTTCCAAACATCTTTGAGAACTAACCAACTAACCATGGATCTTTTGTCGATGTAGGCTGACTCAAATCCTTGTCTCTTCATGTAATCCCTGACAGGCTCCATGATGTTGAGATCAGGTCTTTGTGGGGTGCTAAACCATCACACTTCCAGGGCTCCTTTACACTGAAGATAGCTCTTAATGACATGGCTGAATGTTTGGCCCCAAATTTATTCTGCAACAGGTTAATGACTCCAATCACATGCCTACCTGGTGGTATTGTATGATGGATAAAGTATCTGCCTGTGTCTCTCAGCAATTAGGACAATAATGATCCTGACCAAATCTCCAACTTCATTTGTAGAAAAGCAGCCCCAAACTTGCAAGAAACCTCCACCATGCTTCCCTGTTGCCTGCAGACACTCATTGTACCGTTCTCCAGCCCTTTGCTAACAAACTGTCCTTTGTTACAGCAAATAGTTCAACCATTGACTTGTCAGTCCAGAGCACCTGCCATTTTTGCATAGAACATGGAAACATGGCCAAGCGACTAAACTACACACAACAACTACACACAAAACATATGAACTGAGGTGCAGAAAAATGACAGCATTTGGCTGTATGAAAGGGGCAGCCTACATTCACAGAAGATCTGTGGTTAGTTTTTCAAGATGTTGGGACAACCTACCTGCAGAGTTCCTTCAAAAACTGTGCAAGTGTACCTAGAAGAACTGAAGGTAAAAGGTAGTCACACCAAATATTGATTCGATTTGGAATTCTCTTCTGTTATTTATTGTCCAGTTTGCGAATTGATAAACTATTAACACTTCACACTGCTTAAGACTCCTGCACAGTAATTTTTATATATATATATATATATATATATATATATATATATATATATATATATATATATATATATATATATATATATATATATATATATATGAACCACTTGGAATTAACTGGTTTTCTACAGTAATTTGCCATAAAGTGTGATCTGATCCTCAAGTCACAACAGATCAACACAATGCCCAATGCGAAGGGGAAGATCCACAAGCAGTGAAGCCGCTAGAGACACGAAGACCGGTGATGAACAGGTTTGGGTGATGATAGCGGTGAATCCTTGGAAAGGCAAGAGTCTCAGCAGCTACAGGGACACTGAAGATTCTCTTTAAGCTAATATACAATTCTAATTTCTTGTGCCTTTATTGAACACACCTATTAAAAACATTCAGTGCTGGTGGAACAAGTAAGCAAACAACTAATTACTTCAACAACAGCTAATTGGAGTCAGTAGTTTGCACACCTGGAGTCCAATTAATAAAATTAGTTTGGAGGTGTGGTTTAAACCTTTCACTGAAACAGCCTTTTTTGCACATGTTTAAAAAATTTTTAGGCCTGAAGATTACACAAGACACCCAGAACATTATATATTTCCTGAAAGCAGACACCCTAGGAAGATAAACAGTGGTAGTTCCAATTTCTTACGTCCCACGATATTAACCCAAAACTCCAGGGAAGAAAAAAAAACAAATTAAACACGCACGCACGCACACACACTAAAGTGAATTTTAGGGAAAACAAATGCAATAAATTACCCAAATTTTGGTAAAATATAAAAAGAGTTTGTGAAGAGTAAATAGATACCAAACATGGCAAACCTTACATTTCTGTGAAGTTGTCACTATTTCATAGGTGCAGACACTTCAGAACCCCTTACAGGTCATCAGTTTGGTGTTATGAAGGTCTTGTGCTAGACTTACTGCTCTCACTCCGGCATGCACGTCGATATGTAATGTGTGTCGCAATCGACATTTTCACACGTAGGCGCTCTGACATGTGAGCTTATGTTCATATGTGCGTTTACGTGGGAGTGGGTTTGCTCAATTCTTTTTAATTTTATTTTTTAAGAGGGATTTTTGTTGCAACAAAAAAACATTTTTTTTTTTTTTACTTCACTTTTTTTTTCCCCCCCATCACATAGGGGACACAAAAGTGATGATTTTTAGGTTACAAGCTCTTTGAGACATGCAGGGTCTAAAAAAAACACTGCATGTCTCCTCTGGGCTTCACGCAATGTATCGCAATGCACACCGCAATACATTGCTTCTCGGGTGTGCTAGCCAAGAAAGTGACAGCGGTAACCGAAAGTCACATGCGTCGCCTTCTGGGTCACAGCAAGAAGGAGAAAAGTGGAGTTCGTCCACTCTCCTCTTCCCCCTCAATCCACCAGCACCCACCATGGTGCTCTCCAGGCCCGCAGATGGGCAAGCAGGATGCATGGAGGGAGTGTGTACACAAGGGGCACCGGTACCAAGGGGCAGTGGAAGAGATCAGCAGTGCAGCCACCCAACTGCTTCCACCTGACAGGCAGGAGTCTGCCTGTCAACTTTGTGCACAAATCCTGCTGCAGCCACTGGATTATGTATAAACCCCCCCCCCCAGTCAGGTCCGTATGACGTACAGACCGGGTGGCAAAATGATTAAAGCTACTTTGATAAAGACACTCAAAACATTTTAAGATTGCTGTTCATAAAAAGCAGCAGTTGATGTGAACCATGCCTCACAAAAAGGAGCAATCAGAAGACATATGATCAAGAGTAGCTGATCTGCATAAGGCTGTATAGGGATACAAAGCAATCTTAATGTTTTTAGGCATTCGTCAGTCGACAAGTAGACAAATTGTCTATAAATGCAGACAGTTTAGAACTGTGGCTACTCTTCCAAGTGGTGGGCACCCTGCTAAGAGGACTCCCAAGGCACAACATAAAATCCTCAATGAGATAAAGAATCACCAACAGACTTACTCTTTAAGTCTTTGAACAGGCAAGGTATCCACAAAACACCACAGAGGAAGCTGCTACTCTCAAAACATCAACCCAACGGTGAAGTATGTTGGAGGGAACATCATGATTTGTGCTTGCTTTGCTGCCTCAGCGCCTGGACCACTTGCCAACATTGAGGAGAAAATTAATTCCCAAGCTTACAAAGATATTCTACAGGATAATGTCTGGGTGGCTGTCTGCCAGCTGAAACTTAGAAGTTAGGTGATGTAGCAGTACAATGACCCTAAGCATTGACATAAATTCACCAGAGTGGCTTCAGAAAGAAAGAAAAAAAAAATCTGCCTTTTGAAGTGGCCCAGTCAGAGCTCAGACCTCATCTCCCATAGAGATGCTGTGGAATGACCTAAGGAGTGCTACTCACATCAGCATCATACAAATGTGTCTGAGCTGAATTGGTTTTGTAAAGAGGAATGGTCAAAAATTCCTCCTGAATGTTGTGCAGGTCTGATCCAGAGTTACTGAAAGTGCTTGCTTGAAGTCACTACTGCCAAAGGAGGTTTGACCAGCTATTAATGCCAATGGCTCACTTAGTTTTTTTTCCTCCAGCACTGTGAAAATTTAACCACTTGACCTCCAGAGGATTTACCCCCCTTAATGACCAGGCCTCTTTTTGCTACTCGATGCTGCACTAATTCAACTAATAATTGCGCGGTCATGCAATGCTGCACCCAAACGAAATTTACGTCCTTTTTTTCACACAAATAGAGCTTTCTTTTGGTGGTATTTGATCACCTGTGCTCTATCTTTTACGCTATAAACAAAAAAAGGCCAAAGATTTTGAAGAAAAAACGATATTTTTTACTTTCAGCTATAAAAAATATATAGTAAACTCAAAGTTGGTTATAAATTTAGGCCAAAATGTATTCTGCTACATGTTTTTGGTAAAAAAAAATCCCAATAAGTGTATATTGATTGCTTTGTGTGGAAGTTATAGCGTGTACAATTATGGTATAGATACTGCAATTTATGCCATTTTTTGCTATACAGCGCTGCGCTAGTTTAACGAACAATTGCGTGGTCATGCAATACGGTACATAAATGAAATTTACAGCTTTCTTTCGGTGGTATTTGATCGCTTGTGTGGTTTTTATTTTTTGCGCTATAAAAAAAGGCTGACAATTTTGAGGAAAAAAAAACAATATTTTGGACTTTGCTATAAAACATGTCCAGTAAAAAAAAAAAATAAAGAGAATCAAATTTAGTCATAAATTTCTGCCAAAATGCATTCTGCGACATGTCTTTGCTAAAAAAAAAAAAAAAAAAAAAAAAACCCCCAATACGTGTAAATTAATTGGTTTACGTGAAAGTTATAGCATTTACAAATGGCGGAAAAGATACTGGGATTTTTAGTTTTTTTTATACTAATAATAGCAGCGATCAGCGACTTATGGCGGGACTGCGGCGGACATTCTGACATTGGGGTCACTGACATCCCCAGTGACACCAATACAGTGATCAGTGCAAAAAAAAAAAAAAACAAACAAAAAAAAAAAACACACTGACACTGTACTAATGGCACTGGGGAGGAAGAGGTTAAGTTTATTATTCAGGGAAAGGGTTAACTGTGTGAGGGGAGTGTTTTACTAGGGGGCGGGGGTGTGTACTGCAGGGAACACCGCTGATCGGGAGAGAGGAACTCTTCTGTCCCAATCAGCGTGTCCTGGAGCTGTCAGGGAACTGACAGAAAGCACAGCTACTGCAGCTGTGCTCTGTCAGCAATTTTTGCCGGGACATAACCGGTAACAACCGCTGTGACCCGGCGACTGACATCCGCGGCTGTGATCGGCGGGACAGGTAGGGCGGCGGCGCACCTCCTATCTGGTTTTAAAACGTGTTTTTGCCCAGCCGTGCCGCCCTGCCGCCGTATTTATACAGTGGCTGGGTGGCATGTGGTTAATGAATGTGTTCAAAAAAGACATGAGACATTAATTTTTTTGGGTCTTATCATCCTAAAATGGATAAGTTCACCTTTCGTAACATGATACACCCATATTCAAGGTGTAACATGTTATAAGCGGACTGGCCTCCGCTCCCCACTTGACAGCGAGAGAGGGATCTTCTGTGGAGCGCCATGGTAGTTCATTCATTCAAACTGTCAGTATACCTGCTTGCTCGCACATCCCGTATGGGCAAGCAGATAAATGGACAGATCTGCAGGAGACCCGCATGGCACCAGCGTTCTGCTGATCACTGGTGCAATGCTTTACAGACTCCTGCAGACAAAAATAAATGCACTTTTTTTTGCAAAAAAAAAAAAAGTGCATTTATTATTCTTTACTTTAAGCACACTGTGGAGAGGTATTTGTTTTTGCAGTTAAAGAATGCCTCAAAACAGCAGTCATGTTCCTGGCAGAGAAACCCAATCAATTGTTTACACTACACGAAACAATAGGAACAAAGCAGATGCAATTTTATGAAGCCACCTACCTATACACAAAAAAAAGGGAAAAAAAAAAAACAAAAAAAAAAACCTATCCAAACTTTTTCAATACCACATCTCTTCTTAAAGAGCATGGTACCTTAAAGAGCAGTGTTAAAAACTTTTCCATAAACACAACCTTCATAAGACACTAGGTGCCAAGTTAGTATAAAAGGAAACAGACAATAACAAGCAGAAAGCTACTGAACTGGAAAAGTCATCTGTCTTCAGGAGATTCCGACTGCTGACACTTTTATTTTTACTCGTCCTGCTCATGAAAGATGATCTGGTTTCACTTGGGCTCCAGCCTGGGAGGGTGGTGGTAGTGGCTTTGGACCTGCCAGGGACATTCTCCAGAATATCCTGGCATCCCATGAGTCGGACTTCCAGGGTACCTGTGGAATGCAGTCAATGAGTAAAGACAGCAGACAAACTTCCTCTTCAAGCCACAAATAAATGGCAATTGTCCAACAAGATTATCAAATGGTTAGTCTTAAAAATAACAAACGAAAAAAAAAAAAACCTCCTCCTATGTGCAAGTAAATTCTTTGCATAGGTAATCTAAAAGCAGGATACTGTGCTTAGAATTTATGCATGTTCCACAGTGGAGTGATTTTTCTGTTCATTTACAATCAGTCCTACCAGCAACAGTGATTCAACCACTAATCTGTGAATCTGTAGAGAAGGCCATAGCAAGGATACTGAAGGGGAAACTTAGCAGCCACCTCTTGAAGAAATCCAAAGCACTAACTTAATTCGAGCATTTTAAGGTCTCATGCACACAGAGAGTTTTGCCCTGTTCTCCTAAGTTCCTTTTCCTCCTGGCAGTAGCATTTTGGTCTATGGACACATTTAGGTGCACATTAAGTGCATGGGCGTTAATTTAATTGGCCATAATAATTTACTCTGCCCAATGAAATTAAATGCTCAAGTGCTTGATGTGCCTAGCATTAAAGGAAAAGTTCACCTTTCGTAACATGTTACACTCATATTCAGGGTGTAACGTGATGATCAGACCTGCCCCCACTCCCAGTTGTGACAGCTTGTGAGGGATATTCTCCTCCCCTGCTAGCTGTCAAAAAAAAAAAAAAAAAAAAAAAAAGTGAATGAGAGAGACTACAAGTCCCAACAGCCTTAGCCTTATGGGCAAAACAAATATATTGACAGATCTGCATGGCACCAGTGATCTGCTGATCACTGGTGCAATGATTTATAGGCTCCAGCAGACAAATAAATGCAAATTTTTTTACTGCATTAAAAAAATGTGCATTTATTATTTTTTTTAATAAAAAGGTGAACTTCTCCTTTAATGTGCCTTTTTTTCTGCCAAAACTCTGCTGTTCCTGGATGCGCTCTGGCAGGTTTTTTTCCGGTCTCTAAATGCCTATGTGTGCATGGACACACAAGCTAGCATGCTGGGGCATTTAGTGGCAGAAAATAAAAATAAAAAAACCCGCCAGACTTCTAGCAGCAGCATTAAAAAGATCGTATGTGCATGAGGTTTTAAAATGTGTACAACATCTTTGTATTAGTATCATCGTTTCAATCTACACAGCATAGACATTTTAAAATGCACTCAGTTCAGTTAATGTGCAGAATTTAGAACTTCTGCAATAGGAGGTACCGTATTTTTCGCTCTAAGACGCATTTTTTCCCCAAAAAATATGGGGGAAAATGTCTGTGCGTGTTATGGAGCAAATACTGACCAGTCCTCCGTCACCGCCGCCGTGTTAGGGCCAGCGGCTGTCCCCTCCCACTGCAGGCTGTTACCGAAGTTCACCCTACCTTATTCCCTCTCAGCAGGCTGTCCCCGCAGCTCTTCATAGTAGGCAGTCCCCTCGCCGAACTCAGCAAGCTTGCTCTGCAGTCCGGTCCGCCCTGCAGGAGTAGGCCTGTCCTCGGAGCTCCTCCCCGCTCCTGGCATGTCTATGTACTGTGCTCCCTGCTCTGCAGTCCGGTCCGGTCTGCAGGTGTGGCCTGTCCTTTCAGCTCCTCCCCGCTCCTGGCATGTGTCCATAGTGCGCTCCCTGCTCTGCAGTCCAGTCCTATCTGCTGGTGTGGCCTGTCCTTGGAGCTCAGTGCGCCACCTGCTTTCTAGAAGTTAAAAATGACAGGTGCTGGGAGTTGTAGTCCTTTTCCTTGATGTATGGTGTCAGATCATTTGATATTCTGGGGGGGAGGGGCCCTGTTGGGACTTTATATGATGTACTGTGTCCGCAGTCTCTGGTCATCTCCTGTACTGTGTCCGCAGTCTCTGGTCATCTCCTGTACTGTGTCCGCAGTCTCTGGTCATCTCCTGTACTATGTCCGCAGTCTCTGGTCCATCCCCTGTACTGTGTCCGCAGTCTCTGACCATCCCATGTACTGTGTCCGCAGTCTCTGACCATCTCCTGTACTAAGTCCACCATCTCTGGTCATCCCCTGTACTGTGTCAGCAGTCTCTGGTCATCCCCTGTACTGTGTCCGCAGTCTCTGACCATCTCCTGTACTAAGTCCACCGTCTCTGGTCATCTCCTGTACTTTGTCCGCAGTCTCTGGTCATCCCCTGTACTGTGTCCGCAGTCTCTGACCATCTCCTGTACTAAGTCCACCGTCTCTGGTCATCCCCTGTACTGTGTCCGCAGTCTCTAGTCATTTCCTGTACTATGTCTGCAGTCCATTGGTTCAGAATATTTTTTTGCTAGTTTTACGCCTCTAAAACCTAGGTGCGTATTATGGAGCGAAAAATACGGTAATTTTGAACTGTAGAAATGTCATAAAGTTACATCAACTTTGATAACAAAAAAAACGTTACAACTGATGGTATCAAATGCATTAAAACAGAAAAGTTGCTTTTTAAGCTTTATATTAGCCCTACCAAATGTTTATTTTAAGACATACCTGTTAAAGCAGCTGGCTTGGACAGTGTACTGTATTGGTTCTGTGTGGAGATCATGCTTTGCCTTGGGCTTAACGTTGGAGATGACACAAGTGAGAGCTCTTCAATGATAATACTGCTTTTCGGATGATTTTTTGGAAGTTCATTAAGTCTTTGCTCTAAAGAATACTTCAAGAGGTCCAGCTTCTGACTAGACTCATTAAATCTTGACTGAGCCTGAAAAAACATGGTAAATAGATAAGCACCTTAAAAAGATACACCATTGCAAGGATCTGACAGGAAACAAAAATGATATGGAACAAAATGTATAACGATCTGTGTTGGAACAACCACAACAAAGACCCTACCCACTTATCTTGGCTCTGCATAATGCCCACCCCTACATACAGAAAAGCACTGAAGTGGGTTTATTCAAGGCTACACAACATTTATGGACACAGGGAATAAATGTATATTTTACTACTATACAAAACAAGTGACAACTATCAACTTTATACTTTGTAACGTGCTGGTGTCCCATTGTATATGATGGTATTTTGTACTTCATGTGGTACACTTTTTTTTCTTCAACTTGACTAAAATACTAAAAATGTTTTTTTTTTTATTTGCCATACTAAAGAAAAGTCAGTACATTGCCACCACACAACAAATTAAATTATTTTTTCTGTCTATTGTCTAATTCCCCTAACTGATCGGTCACAAGCAATCTTTTCCATTCTATAAACTAAAACTGACAAGAAGACTGGACTGAGGTTTTAAATTTTGGAAGATCAAACCCTTGCAATGCAATTTGTAAAAAAGCAACCCAATATCAATTCTTCCTTTTCTCTAGCAAGACAATATGGGAAAGAAATTTTCAGCATGGGTTCTCTGCGTACATCACTTTACTAGTGCGGTGCAAAGACACTTGGTCAGATCAAGGTCACAGCGTCTGACTAATCAATACACTGGTACTTCAGCAAAGAACTAAGATCTCGGAAAGCAGGGGCACTTAAACTGAAGTATAGTCTATCAAATTTTTTGTTTTAATATCCATAGAACCTAAAGAGATCAGTTGTTTTTAAATAAAACGCAAAATCCAAGTTAATCTGTTGTAGATTGGTTCACACTGAAAGCAGCTTTGAAATGGTGTTCTTTCACTAAAAGTAGTATGATTCCAAAGCCGCAGGTCAGTGCGATTATACGTTCAACTTGCTTGACATCTGTGCAACTACATGCAAGTCACATCTGAAATCACACAAATCGTGCAGGAACCTTTTTCCCCAAATCAGTGTGGAACTGCAGAGTTGGGAGTCACAACGATTTAGAAGGTTCCATTGCCCACAATAGGGTGCAACTTGTCATGCGATTTGAAACTGTGAAACACACCAGTGTGATCCAGGGCTTAGAGAAAACACTGCAAGAAATCCCTAAAATGCATGCTTGCACACTATACTTTTAATTCTGAACCAATTGAAAATATGCTACTGTGCAAAAGTTTGTAGGCAGGTATGAAAAAAAATTTTAAAATGCTATCAGAAAAAGTAGCGCTAAAAGTTTATTTTTATCAATTAACAAAATGGAAAGCAAATGGACAGAAAAGAAATCCAAATCAATATTTGGTGCAACCACCCTTTGCCTTCAAAACAGCATCAATTATTCTAGGTACACTTGCACACAGTTTCTGAAGGACCTCGGCAGACAGATTGTTCCAAACATCTTGGAGAACTAACCACAGATATTCTGTGGATGTAAGCTTCCTCAAATCCTTCTGTCTCTTCATGTTAGCCCAGACAAACTCAATGTTGAGATTAGGTCTCTATGGCGGCCAAACCATCACTTTCAGGACGACTCTTTGTTCTTTACATTGAAGACAGTTCTTAATGATATTGACAGTACATTGAGGGTTGTTGTCCTGCCGCAGAGTAAGTTTGGGGCCAATCATTTGGCTCCCAGATGGTATGCCAAGATGGAGAAGTATCTGTCTGTATTTCTCAGCATTGAGGGCACCACTGATCCTGACCAAATCTCCAACTCCATTTATAGAAAAGCAGCCCCAAACTTGCAAGGAACCTCCACCATGCTTCACTGTTGCCTACAGATACTCATTGCATCGCTCTACAGCCTTTGGCCAAAAAACTGACTCATCGGTTCAGAGCACCTGCTGCCATTTTTCTGCACACCAGTTCCGTTTTTTGTGCAAAGGTGAGTCACTTAGCCTTGTTTCCACGTTGGAGGTATGGCTTTATGACTGCAATTCTTAAAATGAACTCCACGTGTGACGAGACCTCTCTAGACAGTAGATGGGTGTACCTGGGTCCCACTGGCCTTCACCACTTCTGTGCTGATGGCACTGCTGGACATTTTTGCTGTGGAAAGGAAGTAACCATGATGTGTCTCATATGCTGCATTAAGTTTCCCTGGCTGACCACTGCATCTACTGTCCTCAACGGTGCCCTTTTTTGTGCTTTTCCAAAAAAGCTTGAACAGCACATCTTGAAACCCCAGTCTACTTTGAAATCTCTGCCTGGGAGAGACCTTGCCATTACAGTATACCTACCTTGTGTCTTGTTGCAGTGTTCAGTCTTGCCATGGTGTATAACCCGTGACATGAAACTGTTGGCTGTTCTTCACCCAGTTTTAGGCCTCCTACACAGCTGTTCCTGTTTCAGTTGATAACTGTTTCAACCTACATATGAAATTGATGATCACTTGCACCATCTTGGTATACCTGGTTAATCATACAGCCCCGGCCAAAAGTTTTGAGAATGACACAAATATTAATTTCCACAAAGTCTGCTGCTTCAGTGTTTTTTGAGAAATACATAAAAGATATGTGGTCCCGGCGCAGACTGGTATATCCCTGCAAACAGTAGCCTTAAGATGTGATGACACAATCACATCCAAGAGTAGTGTCAGTGGAGCAAACAGACAATATATAATTCATGGCAAGGCTTCTTGTAGAGAGAGGAAGCAATCAACAAATACATGCAAAAGAGAGGAGGAAGGTTCCAATGGGTGTAGATTAGCTTGAGAAAGGAGCTTGCCCGACGCCAGTCGATGTGCATATGCTCCGAAACGCGCAAGTCCTTTCCGGTGACATCACCTTGCTGAGCGCCCCGGTCACTTGCGCTCCAAATGCATTCCAATCCTCAAATTGGATCCCCCTCACCATTCAGCGACGGCTATAAACAGTGGCAGAGGATGCCTCATCAATGCACAGACTCAGATGTGCCTGCTTTTTATTACCATCATGAGGGTGCATTTCAGCTTTGGTTTTAATAAGAATTTATGACAATTTACACTCAAGCACCTTCCTTCTCTTTTTTCTGTGTTTTTAGGGCTTTGTCAGATGTTACTATGATATACTGAATTACAAGCATTTCATAATTGTCAAAGGCCTTTATTGACAAATTGCATTAACCTCCCTAGCGGTTTCACCGGTCAGGCTCGGGGTTAAATCTAGCTGTCAAAAGCGGTAACCCCGAGCCAGACTTTGGGTCACCGCAAACTAAGTACCTGGTCACGATCCGTGTCCCGAGACGCATGCAGCCATCCCCTCAGTCCATCCAGTCTCCTTCCCTGGTATCTCACGCTGATCAGTGTGATCAGTGTGAGCCTGCCGTGCCATCGGGGGGCGGGGCTTGCAGGAGGCGGGAGTTATAAAAATAGATCAGTGTCAAAATAAAGTGTTACTCTAGTGCATACATTGTAACTTTACCTCAGAAAGTAAAGACAGTGGCAAATCTGAGATTGACGTGAGTGATCTGCGCACGTGGTGTACTATTGTGATACGCCAGCGCCACCAAGATTTCCATTTACCGGCGCACCCGGTATGAAAATCCAAGTTGAAGGTGACAACCCCTTGGCGTACTTGGAATGGTTTCTGACAGATGAGGTTATTGAAATTATCGTGACGGAGACAAATAGGTTCGCAGCGCAACAACTAGCTGCTCCATATAGCAGGTTTTCACAAAGCAGAAAGTGGGAGCCTGTCACCAAAAGAGGACATTTGGCTGTTTCTCGGCTTAATTATTCTACAAGGAGTGGTGGGGAAACCACTGCAGAAGTGGTACTGGACCACAAACAAAATGCTCGCCGCACCATTCTTTGGCACCGTCATGTCGGAGTACAGCTTTTCCCTTATTATGAAATTATTGCACTTCGCAAATAATGAAGATTTTGATGAATTGACTCATCAGGCTCCCAAAAGCTAAAAAAAAAATTTGGGATGTCGCCCAAATAATTGTCAGAAATTTCCAGCAGAGCTATGTGCCAGAGAGAGACGTTAGCAAAGACGAAAGGCTAATGGCCTACAAAGGAAGGCTCAGCTGGATACAGTATACCGCATCCAAGAGAGCATGATTTGGCATCAAATCCTGCCTGCTGTGCAAATCCTCTACTGGCTACATCTGGAACACAGTTATATACACTGGCAAAGGCACAAAATTTGATCCCAAGTACAGCAACTACGGAATGGCAAGATCTTCCGTCCTGTCACCGATTGAGCCTCTGCTAAACCAAGGCTACTGTGTAACGACGGACAACTTCTACACCTCTCCAGAACTTTACGAGGTTCTTCAGCCCAAAATGGATAAAATGGATACATATGGAACCGTTCGGGCTAACTGGCGCAACCTGCCATTGATGTCTGCAAAAAACAAACTGAAGTCGGGAGAAATCGTTGCCTGGCAGAAAGGCAAAATGATTGCACTGAGATGGCGGGACAAGAAGGATGTGTGCCTAATGAGTACCATTCACAATGCCTCCACAGTGATGGTACAAACAAAAAGGTGGGAAAAAAATTCCAGAAGCCACAGGTTGTTATTGAATACAACAGCACCATGGGAGGTGTCGACTGAGCTGACCAAGCTATGACATTCTATCCGGCGATGAGAAAGCAGCAGAGGAAATACTATAAAAAGATTTTCCGGCATCTTCTGAAACAGTGCTTGTGGAATGCCTATATTCTGTTTTGCAAAAAACAGTGACAAGCCTGTGGTTCATGTGGACTTTATCTGGAAAGTGGCGGAATCCATTTTCCTCAAACATCAAACAACATCAGTGTCTGTGGGTAGATCCGGACGACGTGCTGTGGGAGTTGTCAAACCAGAACATCTGACTGGACGTCATTTTATGGACCACATCCCACCAACCCAAAAAAAAAGGCAGCACCTACACAGATGTGCGTGGTATGTTGCTCTCGGCGAGATGAGTGTAAAAAAAATTTGCAAGGA